AATAAGTTATCAATGAAAAACAAAATCAATTACACTATTGTTGCATTGCACATTTTATTCAATATCAATTAAATTGAGTCTAAAGGAAAAAAATCATTTGATATTAAGAAACAACCCAAAAAGAAACCCATCTTATCTTTTATTTTTATTTTCACAAAAGGATTTTTTTTTTCTCACGTTTCTATTTTCTTCTTTTTTAAATAGCAATGTTGAATCTTACGGGAAAAAAAAACTAATCGAAATGTTTTCATTTTATGAAATATATATAAAGTTTATTATTTGAATGGAATTGATGTTGTTTTTGCTTTCTCATGTCTTATTAATCGTTTTCAATCATTACTTTCTAATTATTGTGAATTCTTTTATTTTAAATCAATAAGCAAAGCAAAATTTGATCTGATTTTTCGACAATATGATACACAACGATGGAAATCATTAGAAATTTCTAATGATGATCATACATATGGACAAATAGATAACTTTTTTCAAAAATATTTTCTCATTAAAAATTTTTTTCAACTTAGATCATTTTCCATGTTAAAAATCAAAGTTGGATCTGGGTATACATTCTTCAATCAACTAGAATTTCTTACAAATCTTAACTCATTAACAATTGAATCTATATGTGGATCAGTAATGTCGAAATTTAATCTTCCAAAACTCCGACGATTTGTGCTTAGTTCATGTAGAAATATGAAATGGATCAAAGTAATACTATAAAAAATTTTTAATTTAATCAATATTGATTTTTCTTGTGTAGGACTTTTCTCAACTTGAAAGTCTTCAATATATTATAGTTAATTGCTGTTCTTGCCGAAAAAATTCCAACATGACCATTAATATTAAAACGACTAAAAATGATTTTTATGACGGATAAAAATATAATATTGGTGAGACGATCACTTTCTCATGTATGTCAATTAATCATTCTTGAAATTTATCAACAAGAAAGAGAAAGATTAATTCCCAATGGTCAAATATGGGAACAATTAATTTCTTCATCACTTCCATTATTAATAAACTTCAAATTTTATTTTCAATTCGAATATTTCCAAGGTGTAATCGATCAAGTTAAAGAAATAGTAAAGGATGTCCCAAAACTTTCGACTTCTCTCTATAAATTGACGTTATTTATATTGAAAACTTATATGAATAGCTAAGCAAAATATACCATTTTGTAGAGCGCGATTAAAGCTATCATCTGCAAAAGAAATTGTTTGAACTAGGTTGGACTTATTAAAAGCTATGATCGTTTTATTACTCATGAGTAAGCATTGTCTATCTTACATTTTTTTGTAAAATCAAAAATATTCTTAGAACAATGAAAGCAAAACATTGTTTCTCAGATATTTCTATATGGTTCGATAGAGTTCGTCAAGTAATACAAAAATATGAATGGCAAAAAATTTCTGATCCTCTTTCTGATTGAAAACTTAGAAAAAAAAACTAGAGATCAATAAAGCTCTCACATATCCTGTCTTCGAAATAGAGTATACTAAACATTGAATAACTTTATTTGATCGATAATTCCATCTATTTCTGAAGCTTGGAAAACCTATTTTCACCCTCATTATGTGATAATGTATCTCGAAACATAAATTAACAGGTGAAATAATAGATCTACTAAAGTTATGGATGTTTAGGTATGTTCTTTTCAACACACTTTATGCCAAATTTTTATGAGTCCTGCTATTTTTCAAAAGTTTTGTTTTGAAAAGAGAACTAGAAATGTTTTTTGGTAACCATATTCT